CCACTTTTCCTGGGCCAGTTACATGGTAAACGGCATTGGTAAAGTGATCCCCCTGAGCAGAAGATGAGAGAGAGCAGAAAACAGAAATTTGACTATTTAAGCAACAGGAGCATGGAAAGGAGTAATGAAAGAATGAGCTCCTCTGTCTAGCTTCATCTGTATACTATGGTAAGGTCCATCTAAATCAGCGTTTTGGTTTGAATCAAGAGCATGCCTCCAAGGTGTACCTCCCAGCTCTCTCCACTTGCTACGCTTTGGTTCACGTGCTGAAATGCTCTCAGGGAATACAAACTGGATTCCTTTCAAATGAAATTAAACCAGAAGATATGCCCCAACTGCTCAGGGGCATTCAATCCTTGAGACTGGAACTATTCTGAAGGAACACCCCAGCACAGATAGGGTCTCAGAACCAACTTTTTGTTTTATAGGTATGCACTTATCAGTACTTGCCAGAGCAGTCAGAGTCCCTGGAGTTCTGCTGTCAAGAGCTAACTGTCCAGCTTTTCCTAAAATTCAACTTCCTCTCAAATGTATGCTTGAGAGAGAGAGAATGAAGTAAGGGCACAGAGGATGAAATCTTTTTTCTTTTATTTAGTACCAACAGAACTGCAAATTAATGTCATTTGAAAGGGCAGAGACTCCTAAAAGAAGGCTACGATATCACTCAAGACAATGATAAAGAGGAAAAATATAAAATCTGTAGTGGATGAACTAATGAATCCTGAAAAGGATCCAGTTGTTTAATGCTGTCCTGTTCCTTCTTTTTAAAATGCATTAATAAAATCCAGGCTGCAGTTCTCTTGCTAGATCCTGTATTTCTTTAAAAGACAACCCCTACCTGCCTTTTGCCTCCTTTCCTTTAATCTTCTCTTTTAAAACATTACTCTAATCAGACTTTATTTTGGTGTCACTGACACTCTTGCTCTACAGCTTCACTTCACCTAGTTTTGTTTCTTTTTCTACTGCAGAAAATGTAGTCAGTGCATGGATGAATGAACAGGAATATCAGGCTTGTTTTGATGTACACTACAAATCTGGAACACACAAAGTATTTCTTTACAAGCAAAGACATTGGACAGAGGAAAAAAAAAAATGTCCTGTCTAAAAATTAATGAAAACTTAGGGACTGAGGTATCCCAGTTCTGTGTGAAGACAGAAGATTTGTTTTTAACTCTTCTACAAATCGCTGACTCATCCCAGACCTCAGGATTCGTAATTTAAATCCTTCTATCCCACTGTAAAGTGCCTCAAATTTGATGGGTTTCACTGTAGTCTGAAACAAAAACACATCAGATGTTTCTTCTTCCTGAACTAGCTTTCCTATCTTACCTACTCTTTGTCCAAAAATTATTCCTACTTAATCACTAAAAAGATTTATTTAGATATAGAGAAGGCTCTCAGCAAGAACATAAAAGCAAAAAAATAACAGTGACTAAGCCCAACCTGTTATCTGGGAAGTACACCAAAGGGTGAAGGCATGTGAGACAACAGAAGGGAAGCAATCATGGAAAACTGTACTTTGGGGCATGGAAATTCATACGTATGGTTGCAAAAGGTATATAGCCTGACTGAGAAATACACTGTGATGACCAACTTAATGAATCAAGCACCAAGGAATTGGCTACCAGTACAGCCTATGGAAAAAGCCCGTCTCCTTATTGTGTACTTGAGGGATAGGAGAAAGGGCAGAACTAATGCAAATAAATCATAAATGGTTCAGTGGTTTTGGCTGAACTAAACCCTGACAGCTGAATTGCAGATAGCAGCCCCAGTGCTAATGCTGCTATCTGCCATCACCCAGTTCTCAGGAACTTTGTCTCAGATCCCTGTACTGGGCCACTGTTCAGAGTCTTACTGCCCAGTAAGAGAAACCCTGGCAGTGTTGGAATGGTACAAACGGTGAGAAATCATCCCTAATGATTGGGATTATTTCAGTCCCAAAGCTTAGCCAACCTTAGCTCCCAGTTAATTCCCTCCTTACCATTTCTCTCTAACCCTTTTCCTCACAAGAAAGCGGAAAACATAAATCTCATGTTGCAGGTGCCTGAGATGCAAGTGGATGCTATAAAAACCAAAATGTCAGTGCCTGAATTTTAAGTTTGTTGCTTTTTCATTTTCCTTCCACTTCCCTGTCTTTTATTTGAAGTTGCAAAAATACAGCTTTGGAGTCTTTCAGTCCCATTGGGCTAGTTTCATTTAATTTCAATTTAACTGAAGACTGTGTTTTAAGGAAAGCGAATATTCTCTCTCTTCATTCATTTAATGAATATCCCACTTTTATTTGTACTTTCCATTGAGCAAGTAATTATAACTCTAATGTATAATCCTTCTACAGGTAATAAAACTCAGAGACAAGCATGGAAATGCCATTCAGAACACTGCCCTGCTGCCTGAAGATTGCACCATGTGTGATGACGAGGAAGATACTTTAGCTAGTTTACAAAATTTGCAAACATTAGGCTGTAGCGCTGTGCAGAAAAAAAAGTACACATGAAATCATTCATATTATAGACAACACAGTGTGCCCAAACATGCATGTGCTACAAATATGATGGGTTTTAAACGCTACAAATCGAATAACGGTGTTTCCAGAATTGAAGGGACCTTATGCATACAATACAGGATTCCTTAGCTATTATTACACAAGTTTGATAGGAATTGCAGTTTCAGCAGTCTCCAGCTGAAACATGCTGGATTAGCCTGTGTCAACCCAACCACAAAGCTTTTTACAGAGTTGAAACTCTGCTGAGCACTGGTTTGGTCTTGCACTCAGTGTGAGAAACACCAGTGCAAGATTGGTCTGTGAAAGACAACAAATTATTCATTTCAAAAGCTCCTGTTTGGTCTTCTTTTAAACCATTAATTGCCCAGAAAACAGAACTAATAAGGATTGGTTTCCTGTAGTTATTGGCTCATTGAAGCTTTTCCTGAATCCGAGGCACTCATAATGCTTCTTTATTATATCGATATTCTGGTATTTAACATGAACTGAGATCAGGCCACAGTCCTTTCCTCTGGGAGGGCTGGAACACTACCCTCCTTCCTTGGTTATTGTCCCTTGCCATATAGGATCTTTATTTATTTTTTTACTTTTGCCCCCTTTTTAAATTCGGCTGAAAAAAATCAGTTTGAATGAAACTGGAAAAAATAAGGGACACACATGCACACATACGAAGTGTGATCCCATAAGCCTTGTTTTCACAGGGAGAAGTCAAAGACTTCATCATCTACAAACAGCCTGAAACTGAAATTCATGCATGGAAAGGAAGAGGTGCCTGGAATATAAAGGTGCTCTTTTCCCTTGGGGTACAACTGCACATACTCAATACTAGTCCAGGACATAAGATTAATGCTGTTTCTATAAAACAATATATCTTCTAATGAAAACACAGGAATACCTTTATCCAAGACAGAAGCAGAGGGTACTGAGGTAGTCTCTGAGTGTGATTTATTTTCCCTTTTAAAAAAAAATCTCTAAAGCAATGAGCAGAATATTTTGTTTCTTTACACCAGGGACTTACTACAGCAAGTAATATAAGAAGAAAATTTATTCATGGGGTTTTTACTGATTGTAATTGGCTGCCAACTGGATCAGAGGTATTTTACCACAAAATAATTGATGAAAGGAGCAGAAGAAAAATTCTCAGTTTGGGCCTCTCCTTGCCACACTTCCCCCTCTAACCAATGGATAGCAGAGCTAGAATCTAACTCAGTATGTCTGTCATGGCATTCTTCGAAAGCAATTATTTCAGAGAAATAATTATTAAAATGTACTCTTTTGCATATACATCACACTGACAAAGTGTCATGTAGAGACCAACACAGGATAGATCACTCACATTAAAAACTTTCTTGTGCACTTTCTGAGTGAGTGGAAGAGATGAAATTATCCCTTTGGAGTAATTTATTGGTGTAACATTGCATAAACAATTAGGATATTTCTCATAATTTGAGGTTAAGTGGCTTGTGGGCAAATCCTACACAACTAGCAAATTGCCTCATGTTTATCACAGAATTCTTCCTTCTGTCCTGGTCACTAATGTACATCCTAGAAAGGAAGAATTGGAAGTTGCTTAGACTTAATACTAGAAACCAACAAGAAGATCGTGGCTTGATCTTAGACAACAACATGTGAATAAGAAGAATGTGGTTAATACTGGAATTCTTTCCTTGTGCTCCTCCTGCCTTTTATAACCATCCACATCACCAAGCCATAGCTATCTTACGCACTGTCAGCATCACATAGAGCAATCTTTTTCACTTGGAATGAATTTGACCTTTTAGCATGGTGACATATAGTATCAAAAGGTTGTGATTTGCCACTGGTGGGATAAAACATGGGTCAGTGACTCAAGAGCCAGTTGTTCACTATTTCTGGTCAACTTAGGGTGGGATGATTTCTAAAGAGATACTGAATTGTTCCACTGCATTTTAACCTAAAGTCAACTAAGAGTTGACAGCTTCGGCTAGATTGTCTGTCAATCTTTATATCTCCAAACCTAAAAGAGTGAAATTCAGATGATGAAAAATTGTGAGGCAAGATAAGGTCTCTCCAAATACTTGCAACTTAATCTTCCACATGCCTTATACTTCAACTCTATATCTATATAGGCAGTACCTTGGGTGTGGCTAGAGCCATCTCTCCTTTTTGTAAGGTCTGTTCAAAACTCTTCTCCCGTAAACAGTTAGAAAACATCACAAGTAGCAAAACCAAGTTTGTTGTTGAATCGGTTTATAACTTTCTGCAGAACCAGGATTCATTTAGAGACCTCTGAAATAGCAGGATCTATGTGCATCATACCACACAGTTGGCATGCTTTTTCTTCCAGTGTAAAAGACCATTACTATGTTTTCCAACAGACAGAATAGGCACCACCAGGCTGGTCAATTTATTGTTGAGATGAAGCAATAAAGATTTATATAGCAACTAGCCATTACTAAACATCGGTTTGTAGGTATAGATACACTGAAAGAGAAAAACAAAGGGAAAAAATACATACCTGTTGGGTAGTGTTCATTCACTGGCCAGCTGTCAACCTGAAGTGTGGCATTGCCACCATTCCTGGTAAAGCGTACCACGTGGTATTTGCCATCATTTACAGGTGTGCTTTCCTCTTTAATAGAGATGTCCACTGTGCCAATATTGAAGACTACACCAATCTTGCCTTGCTCCTAAAATAAAAGAAAAAAAGAAACAAATGCTTGTAAATTGCTGCCTATTAGGAGAACATTCTTGGCCTATAAATCTCTAAGGGGTAATTGTGCCGGTAGATGGCACTGAAGATAACACAGAAGCATCACTTTAAGCTTTGTCAGGACACATTTCATTGGCTCTACTTCAATACAAACGTTGACTTTCACAGTCTTTACAGCATTCACCTGAACACAGTGACTCATTTATTCCCTTAAAACATCACAGAAGACAGGTGAGAAATCAGGCCATAAAACCAAGGAGATGTAGATAAACAGTTATTTGAGCAACATCTCTAGTGATTATTAGTAGACACTTGTTCAACTGTCACCTGAAATACAGCCACCGGCTCGCTGTATCCCAACAACTACTTTGTTCTATTACTCTGCTTGTGAAACAAACAGCCCCCACCCCAAACCAAATAACTGTGGGATCCAGCAGGTAGAATGCAGTTACAAGATGGATGTAATTAGAAGAGAGCAAAAATGTAATTAGCCAACTTTGACTTTGACCACCTGAGGGATGCTAATGGAAAATGACCAAATGGAAAACCTTCCAGACTTTCAAAACACAGGAGTGGCCACACTCTTTTACATTTCTACATTACATCCTAAGCAGCGCCTTACCAATAAAACCGTCCTCCATAGAGTTTTCCCAAACCTTTCCACCAGTCACTGACTGAAAGGGAAGAGCAGGCAAAGCCGGTTATACTAGCCATAACGCTTCCTCGTGCAGCTCCCCTCATGTAGTTTCAAGTAAGGACCATATCCAATGACTTTAGGTTGCAAAATACACACACAGAATATATTCAGATTAGACATCCACATTTAATACTACTGATTTAAACAGTGCCAGAAATTCCTGTCACTGTACAATATACAATTAACAGGAATCGACCTTCAAGCCCTCAACAAGAGGCGGCACAGTACACTGGTGTCAATGTTTATGAAGGCATGTTAGGTGTACTGCGCAGATTCAAATCTGGTATAGACAGGCAGAACTAAAATGTATCATACAGGAAGCCAATACATTTGCTAGCCATCCATACTATAAAATTGGCAATAGCTTTGTTAACTGTCTCAACAGAAAAACCAAGATACAACAACAGAGAGTAGATGGCCATCTTGTATGAAAATATAGCCTCAACAAAAACTAAGGTACAATAAAGGGGCAAGAGACAATTTTTTACTGTTATTACCTTACATATCTGCTTTGTGTGCAGAGGACTCCATCCTTGAGGGCTGTTACCCTGACTGAACTTCACTACATTCATGTTAGCAAATCTCAGCAATAAGGAAGAAACCTCTCCTCTTGTACTTGAGGTCCACCTCAGATCCCTCTCCTGGATTTACTCCTGTCTCCCGGTATCAACAGACCTTTTCCTTAAAACCTCTATGTCTTCCAGTTTCTCACAGAGGCCTTTCCTGATTCCTGCTTTACCTTACATTTCAAAGTTTACTCATGTCAAAATAATCATCACAAGTTTGTTACATCTTCAATCCCCTTTTTCCCTAACACCACTCCCCCACCCCCCATCCCCAGTCCTCAGACTACAACACTGTTATTAGGAAAGGAAAACAAACAATCCTGTAGCTTAAAAAATTTGGACTGTGCTTTGACTACTTCAAGTTTAGCACTGTAACAATAAGCACCCTGGCTTTTCTCTCATTATAATGGTAAATTTTAGACTCTGCTAAATATTTGCTGGATAGCAACTGTCTCATGTACTTTCACACTGCTATGCTTTGTATAGACTTCCCTTCAAGATATCAATAATCTTTTTTCACTGGAACATGAGTAAGCGGATTGCTGCTCCCTGCAGAGGTGTGAACTCGGATACCACTTGAAAACAATCAACCTTTCTTCCCTTACGGTACCCCAAAAATAAGGTTGCTTTCAGTGAACAGAATTTTATTTCAGGTAAAACCACTGCTGGCACAGCTTCACCACTTCTTTGACATATGAAGCAAGTGATCTCCCAACACTGTTTTAGCAGTTCTTTTGCTGGCAACCATATAATTATCTTCATCTGCATAGCAATTAGCAAAGAGCAAGTGATTAATTTTTGCTGAAAGATTCAAAGAATGTCTACTGACCAGGTAACCTGGTTACTTACTCCATGTGGTTTTGCAAGGTGCTGCCTTATAATAACCTCCTGGACACTCTCTCAATACAGCTTTTCAATTGCCATCAATGCATCAGTCTTCTTTTAGAAAATGTGGCTGCTCTGAGAAGAATCCACCTTGGTGAAGGCATAAAGTGAGCAAGTAAAATGAAGAGCTGCGCCTTGCCTAATGGAACAGATCTCCACCATCACAGAAGAGGAAGGGATTAAAAGGTATTCAGCAGAGTGAAAGCTGCGTACCTTCAAGCCCTACAGGTTTAACGAGGCAGAGATAAAAACTTGCAAGTGGGGAAAAGGGATGGTGGGAAGTTTAGCTAATCTGCCCTGCAGAAAAAAATGGTTCTGATCTCTCCTTTGAGGAAAAAGAGATAGCGCCTTTCACCATTCCCTTTCCCGGGGCTTGAAGGAAAAACCCTATTTAAAGGCCTAGTGATAACCCATCAATAAGAGGGCAAATTGGGAAAGAGATAAGATTCTGAGGACTGCAAACCACCAGCGGCCTTTAATCTGCTGGAGAGAGGAGGGAAATGAGCAAACCAGTGCACTCCCCATCCCAAACAGATTGACACCCCCTCCCACAGCCAAGGGAACATAGCCCTTCTAAAGGCAGTGAAAGGCAGCCAAATAGGGGTGGCAGTGATTTAGTACGATGAGCAGTTGGAGTGTGTTAGAGGGGACACATAAGCGAACAGCCACATGCACTGTGTGCTCTGAAAAGGGCTTTACCTTTGCATCTTCTTTTTCTTAATCTAAAATTCAAATCATCCAGACTGAAAGTATATAGCTGTTACCAGTGTGCAGAAAGCATTTCATTTCAAAAACCAAGAGGGAGAACCCCAGGCAATAGGGCAAATCCTACTCTCAGCTGCATCGATATGAATTGATAGCAATTCTGTTGAAGAAACTCAATTCCTACTGATGCAAGTGGAAGCAGAGTTTATCCCAGTATCTTTATATTGTTTTGTTTCTTTTTCTGAAACTAAATGTAAAAGGAAAAAAAAAGCATTTATAAATCATAACTGAAATCTGACTAGAATCCCAGGATAACTGTTTTCTCACACTCATTTTACTTCATCATTTTTTAATAGTCACTACTGTGCAGACTGCCTTCTCCTCCCGCCCTAGCTGGTTCCAACATGACTAGACATCAGCCCAAACCTGGCAGACAATATTCCTAGTTACTGCTTCCTGAAGAACACTGCTGATTTTGCTGCTCTCATTTGAAAGTGATACAAGCTCTTTCAGTAACACAACAAGCCATTTCGCACTGTAGGAAGGTTTTGTAAACTTCTTTTTCTTCCCCGCCCCCCCCAAATGCCACACACATATACTTCAACTCTGCTACCCTCTAAATTCAGGAAAATTGCTTTGTTTTCTTATAGCCCCAAGCACTGCTCTTCCCGGAATGGCTTCCTTCTATTTACTCTCCTCAGACTTGCAGTCTATGTTTTTAAGAAGAGATTGAACTTTTACTTCTCCCTCTTTGGAATTTTTTCCACTTTATTCTTTAAGTCTTTCTTCACTTGATATCCTTTGGGGGTTTTGTTTGTTTGCTTGTCTGGTTGTTTTTTATTTTTGCTTTGCTTCAAACTTGATTCTGGATGTTCGTCTAGCTGTCAGAGTGCTTGCTTTCTGTGGTTTGGGGGACTGTGCACAATAGCACTAAATGTAGTGAGGTATCTAAAAGAACTGAAGGTATAGATATATATTCCACAGAGGACATTCACTAATTACTACAACATCAAATCAGTTCATGTGAACTTTCACTGTAAACAGAAACTCAGAAAATTCCTTACTGATTAGAAACATAGTAAAAACCAGCACTGTGCTTAGAGGACCCTCCTGAGCTGCAACACGAACTAAATGCGTGGCTGGACAGGCCTTTCCAATATGTATATAGCAATGGATTTAAGAAAGGGAAATATTAGAACCTGCATTCCGCACAGAGTATAAGGCAGTTACTTCTACTCCGCTCTGTCTGGTCATATTTAATGACATTTTTAATACCACTGGGAGGTAAGTCTGAAATCAGAATTCAATATATACAAACCTCTAGAATTGGGTAAAGGGAGAGCTTACTAGATGAAGTTTTCTGTTATCCAAATAATGATGGTAGGGAGGGCATGCTCAAGAACAGTACAGCCACCCTGGCAAATGTAATAATCAACAAAAGCAGCAAATGTTGTTAAGGAAATGACAGGCACTGAAGCGCACTTGCCTTGGAAACGTTTAATTAGGGTTCCAACACTTTACAGTTATCTTTAAACAAGAAAAAAAATATTAAGGTGAAAATAAGTACATAGGCCAGCTAATTCTGGCCGATTTTTGAGGGCTGTTATAAGGCACAGTAGGTCATTTTTTGTTATATACTGCTTGTTACTCCTTCTTTAAGGTGCTGAACCAGATCTACTAAATGCCAGTTACAAATCTATTTATCAGAGAGAATGATACATACACAGGACAAAATAAACAAAAATTATTACCCTTCAGGGCCATGGTTTTTAAAAGAAGCAATTCTCACAGATACATAATTTATAAGGCTAAAAAGGACAATTGTTATAATCTAGTCTCCACTAAAATTTTATATGAGGCCATATATCTCATCTGAATTGATTCTTTGTTGAACTATAGGATATATTTTAGAACAACACTTATTTGTGATTTGAACATTTACAGCAGAGGAAAGAAGCCTCAGATTTATTGCAGTTACTTCTTTGATGAGATTGGCCCAGTGTTGAACATAGTCAAAAAGGCAAGTGGAATGTCAAGAATCATAATGAAAAGGAAGAGTGTACAAAAGGAAAATCTCTGTTGTAAGTTAATGGTGCACCTCTGACTTTAATTTTTGAGCACAGT